CAAGGGATGGCCCCGGACGAGTCCAGGAAGACAAAGGCGCACGTTGTGGGGCCGGGCGCGGCAGCTCGAGCATGCTTCATGCCGCCGGCCCAGGACGAGTCGGCCGAGCGGCCCGCCAAGGAGAAGGCGCGCTGTCTGAGTGCGCTGCTTCTGGACTGCACTCGTGATGCCTCAGGCCAGCTCCGACCGGCCCCGCGCTCAGTTGACAACGGTGCCGCAGCGTGGGCGCCGATTGGAAGCCTAGGTGGGGTGTTGGCTTGACGCTCGCTGGGACAGTTATCGCAGCCGCTGGGACCGTTATCGCAGCTGTCCAGCTGCAGCAAGCCAAGCGTGACTCGGAGCGGGCCTTCCGCGAGTCACCCGAAGGGCGGCTGCAGGAGGCGGTGCGTCGTATGATGCGGCCGCACGAGCCTGCAAAAGGCAAGGAGCAGGTGGTGGCCCGCAAGGCAGCAGTAGATGCTTCGTTGTTTTGGGAGGGGAGCTAGTATTGTTGGGGTAGCCTGCGTAGCCTCCTTGATATGGAGTTGTTGGTGCCTGCAGACATTGACGCCCGGTGCCAGGTCATCCAGGATACCCGCGACAGGATCAGCTCCTGGCAGGAGCATGCCACCGTGGTGACCGGTCGCTATGGCAGCGGCAAGTCCGTTGCAGTGCACGAGGCCTTGCGGGATGTTCGCGGCACCTACGTCCGTGGAGAACGCAGATTGGAAGTCCAACCTTTACAAGGAACTGCACCTGGACGGGCCCGGCATGCTCAAAGAGCTCTTCAATCGCGTCGCCGCGGAGCTGCAGAAGGATTTCCAGGCCCCGTCCAAGGTGCCCGTCCTGGTTCTGGACATTCTGCGGGAGACGACCCAAGGCGCGCGCCGCTCGGCTTTTGGAGCTTGCGCCAGTTTTCCCGCCTGAGGAATGCCGCTGGTGTCGAACTTCGCCAAGGAGCTGTCCACGGACAAGATGGGCAGCGCAGTGCACGCGGGGATCCAGCGCTGTGTTGCCCTGTTGGCTCTCACGCAGGCTTGATTTTCTGAGCTGAGGTCATCGTCTGTGCGTCCTCCGCAGGCACAGCAATGACCTTCGATGCTGGAGGTGCTCAGCGACAGGCCTGCAACATCTGGGTCGAGGATCTGGCCGAGCAGGAGGCTCAGCAGTTGCTGGAGCTGAAGGGGCACGCGGAGGACTGGAAGCAGTTCACGGCCGCATGTTCCCCAGCTGCAGTCCCCGCTTGTCTCGAGGGATTTTTGTGCTCGCTTAGCTTAGGCGGGTTCAATGCATTGGACCTGGTGAAAGCCTGCGGCGACTACACAGGGCCCGACTTCCTGGAGGAGGCGAGGCGGAAGAAGGAGGCCACGGCCCACATGGAAGTGCTGTGCTTTCGGGAGCAGTGTAAGTTCCAGACTGTGGACAGCATCGCCCCCGCCGGCGCCAACATTCTCAAAGCCCTGTTGGTCAACCGCAAAGGCGGCGACGGCCAGGGCGTGGCTGCGCTGAGTGCCGGAACGGCCGTGGGGCCGAAGAAGGTCGCACAGTGGATGAGGCAGGAGGGCTGCCACCCAGTCATTTGGCATACGAGAGAGGAGAAGTACAAGTTTGCGTCGGAGCGCCACGCACAAGCCGCGGCCGCAATTTTGAACCGACGCTGGTGGCCCCTTTGAGCTCGCCTTGCGTGACCGAAAATTGACAGAATGACATGCGCTCTGAAAAAGACGGAACAAGCTCTGAGGATTGCTTGCAGCCTCTTTAGCGCCTAGTTATGCTGACCTGTGCTGTCGTCAGGCCCCTGTTGCCTTCATCGACGTCTCGGCCTGGGAGCGCCGTTTTCTTCATCGAGTCCTGCTGCCTCAGGCCTGCATTTCCGTGTTGCGTCCCCCCATCAGCTGCGTTGGAGCTTGCGTGTGAGCTTTGTTTGCCTGCAACCTCGCAGCCTGCAAGATCATTTGAGAAGACACTCCGCTGAGCAACAGGAGCATTCTGTGGACATAAGCATGGTAGCTCGGGCAGCGTGCCAGCGTTCCAGGATGTGGGCGATCCTTCCCAACTGACCAGACCACTAAAGAAAAGAGTCATCTAGATAAACTGCTCGATCATGGCAGACCCTGCGCTAGCTCCTGGTCCGCTGACAGTTCGCGCGGCGCGTCTGAGGCGGGATGAGTCCCGCTGGCTGCGTGAGTTAGTCCTTGAG